AGCTGAGATACTTGTCCTACAGCACCTCCATCAGGAGGACAGCTGACGTGACTTTCTGTTTAAGCAAAGAGGCGACTTGTTTTTCTTGAATTAAATCCACATATGATCAAAATACATTCTAAATGCCAGAACTACCTAAACAATCTCTAACTTTAATCTTCTTAAATTAAACAAACAAAATAAAAACTCTCCTAATTATTTGTTAGAAAATTAAAATAACTGTCTAAAAACGAGGAAAAACTTTCTGAATTTTGTCTTCTTTGATTAAATAACTGGTTAAATTTTAATTTTACTGCAACATGGATGAGGTAATCAGCAGCATCTGTAACTTTAGTACAAATTATGAATTTTCCGTTTGGGATAAATAATGTTAGACGATGTTGGAAAACTACAAAATCCATTACAGTTTACTCCAATGTATTTCCCTGGCAGAGTTTTGGTAAGCAATAAGCATACAACATGTCAGCAATAAAACATTAGCTTCATGCTGTCATTCAAGCACAACACAGCATTTTTAAAGATCTTTTGCTAGATCCGTTTTGGTTTATTGTGTGAACGTTTATGAAGCATTCACACTGTTGTGATCCATTTTTCTCTCATACCCTTTTCAGCCTCGTTCTCGTTCCACAACTTTTGTGCCATTTCAGCAAATCATAAATCAAAACTTTCAGCTCTTTTCATGACAATCCTGTTCTGACTTTTGGTATTGGTGCAAATTTAGCGTTTTGAAACATTTAGCCTTTTCTACTACTTTTTTCCTCATAGAAAATGGAGTTCATTTAACATCCTTCAGATCTTTAGATGTGTTTGCAACTTTTTACTGCTCCTTTCACATTTAGTTCTGCTTCAGCTTCTTTCAGCTTCCTTGTGCAAATGTAAAAAATTTTCAGCTACTTTTTGTTTTGTGCTCTTTTCAGATTCTTTCTGCCAAACTAAATTTTTGTGCTTTGTTTAAGGTCTTGCTATTTTTTTCTGCTTGTTATGCTCCTTTCAGCTTATTTCAGCAAGTTTCAGCTTTGTCAGCTACTATTTAGCTGTTTTAATATAAATTTTAGCTTTTTCAGCCAATTCCACATTTTTTGCACTCATTTAAACTTTAAGCCTAATTCATCAAAATTTTGCTTTCTCCTCTTTCTTCTGGTTATTTAAGCTTCTTTGGCTTTTTTAGCTACATTTCAGCTGTTTTCTGAATAATTTTGGCTTTTTCAGATAATTTCCACCTTCTGTGCTCATTTCGGCTTCTTTCAGCCTAGGCAAACGGGTTCCTTCTGCTAATTTAAGCTTGTTCTACCCTTTTAGCAATTTTTTAAAGCTATTTTCAGATATATTCAAAATTCTAATTGTAATTTCTATACTTTCAGCCTAATTAGCTTCTTTCTGCTCATTTCAGCACATTTCTGCTGGTTTCAACTATTTCAGCTATTTAGCTCTTTATGCTAGTTTTAGCCTTTTCAACTAATTCCACTTTTTTTTTCATTTCAGCTCTTTCCACTTCCTTCTGGTACTTTAAGCTTCTTTCTGCTTTTCAGCCATTTTTTGTTAATGTCACCGATTTTAAGCCAATTTCCCAATTTTTGTGTTCTTTTCTGCTTCTGTCAACCTAATTCAGGAAATGCGTTCTTTCTGCTTTCTTTTGATAATTTAGGCTAGTTCTTCCATTTCAGCAAGTTTTTTTTTTTAATTAGCTAATTTCAGCTGTTTCTCAGCAAGTTCTTCTGCAATAAGCATTCACACTGCATTTTCGCAGAAAACGCAATTTCTCTAGTTCAGGTTTACGTCCACAACACTTCAGAAAGAAATGTTACAAATCTTTAATGCAGCAGGGCTTTTGTTTGTGTTCTCACTTTCATCTTGTATTTAGAAGATTTTTTACTAATCAAGCACTGAGTTTATTTGTTTAGTCCCTTTAAGACTGTACAGTTTGATTTTTGTCAATCCATTTTTTTCATAAAATAAAACATTTCTCAATATTTTCCACACCCCTCGTTGGAACTCTTGTTTTGTAGCAAACAAAACACTGCATCAGCACTTAAATGTGTTTTTTAGTTTCAAAGATTAAAGCTCGTGGTCTTCTGGGTGGTAAAGTTCGCTCATCAGTCGATAAATGTACGACGGTGCGTGTCCTCCGATGTTGGAGATGAACAGCGTGATGAGCTCGGGGGGGACGTAGTCAAACACGGGGCAGTGCACGTTGACTTTAGAGAGGATTTCACCTGAAATATTAAAGACAACCTTTTAACAAATGATGTAACATTTAAACTGAAGCCTCAAGACATCACACAGCTTTGGCACTTAGGTCACCTTCAGTGAAAGGGAGTACTTCGTGCGGAGAGACAAACTTATGAAAGGTTTCCTCCTCGTTTGGAAACTAAAAAGAGTAAAAGCCGTTTTATTCATTGCATTTCAACAACAGTGCAGAACTCGCAGACTCGAGGGTTTTTCTGACCTGAGGCGAGAGCTTGAACATGGGAGCACAAACGATGAGCGGTGTGGAGTGATGTTTGGCTGCGAGGGCGAGAGTGTGCGTTCCGTTGACGGCCCTCAAGCCTCCGTTGGCTAGAACTGTCTGAGTACCGATGATGACCTGAACACAGATCAGACAGCTTAAACTGCATGTCCTGCTCATGTTGTGTCCATTTTTAAAGCTTGGGTAGATACCTTATTAACCCGAGACATGACCGCAAATATAGCAGCGTCTGCAATCACAGTTGTTTCTATGCCAGCTTTTGATAGGCCGGTGGCCATTTCATGTCCCTGTGAAGAAGTGGGTAAAGTTTTTTTTTTTTAAAGCTTTTAGAGAAAAAGACTTTTGTGGATCCGGACGTGTTTGAAGTACCTGGCAGAAGGGAGCGCACTCTGCCACGATGACGTGAAACTTGCGTTTGCGTGCAGCATCTTTCAGGAAGGCCTCCACTGTGCGAGAGCGCCCGATTGTCATGATGACCTCGTTGGAGTGGATGTGCTCCAGGGCCTGCATGGCGATGTTGTCAGTCGTTCCCTCTGAAAATGTTAACGATGAGTGGGGGGTGGGGGTGGGGGGGAAATAAAAAACTCTTTAGACTCACTCAATCAACGTTTGCTTTGCTTACGCAGTCAACATACCCAGCTCCGTCAGCAACTCATTTATGGCCTCGATGACGTTGGCTTTGAGGGAAGCAAAATGCTGCCTGAAGTTCTCCTCACCGAGTCCTCCAGAGGTCAGCAGCTTGTGGAGAGACTCCTGCTGGTCCGCCTCTTCACTGCTACCGCGAGACCTGAAGAGAATATTTGAACAAACTACATAAACACACGACATGGGGTAGAGGGTGTATTCACCTTATATACTGTTGTCATCACTTTATCTCACTTAAGACTCTGAATGTGGGTTTTTAAAAACTAATTTGTAGCTCTGGAGATGTCCTATTTGGATGAAGGGTTTGACAAATAAAATAAAAATGTGTGGTCCACAGTTTATTGAAATTAATAAAAACACTTTAGTTAAGAATACAGGCTGGCACTACAATACAAAGACAATAAAAACACAAGGTATAAAAGAAATCTACATAAAACAAAATGAAAGTGGATGCAAGGATTGCAAGGAAAAAATAAAAAGGATTTTTTTATTTGTATAATTTTACTTTAAAAAAAAAAAAAAAAAAAGGATACAGGCCTCAGACCGATGAAGTCTTCCGGATGGAAGACGAAATGTTTCTCCCTCAAAGAAACTGGTCCAGATGACATGATTTAACCCTTTTTGTTATTTTTACGTAAACTTCAGAAGAAATACTCAACTCTCAAAATTATAACAGTTATTACCGAAAGAAAATAACACCTGAAAGCTTTTGTCCAACACTAAATAAACTTCTCTAAATTTGACAAGCTGCACGTCCTAAATGTTTCAATAGTTGCCTTTTTAAATTTCAGCATAGAGAAGAGAGAACGTGTAAAAACACCAATCAATTAATTGATCAAATATATTCAAACCTATAGTACAAATTGTCAACCTAAGGCAACCCTACCAAACTCAAATAAGTTATATCATTTAGATTAATGAGCAATATTTTCTTTCAAAGGATTATCCATCCATCCATCCACATCCATCCATCAGATGGATGGATGGACAGATACTTAAAATCTAATCAATGTCAATACATTATGTAAGAGCTGCAACTTAAATAAGTTGTTTGGGTTAATATCAAGGTTCATGCTCAACAATCCAGGCTGAAAAATCCTGAACATTGATGTTTTGAATCACTTTGGCCATGACTGCCTCAAACGAGACGTTGGAGGTGAGGGCGGACTCCAGAAACCATCTTAGCACCATCAAACTGGTTGACCCACTATATGAAGGTGCTTGTTTTAAGACATTGAGTTTGTTGTGGCTCCTCGGACTGATGAAGTCTTTTGGATGAAAGACGAAGCGTTTCAACAAAAAGAAACCGTCCAGAGGATCGGACTTTACTAAGTTGGATTGCTTCAATTAACTTAACCTCTCATGTTTTAGCATTTCACATGCAATCTAACGACTAATTATAAATAAAGTCCTGATTTTTGTCTCCTCACCTAGCGTACTCCTCCCTGATGATCTTCAGCACCCTTCTGATCATGTTGCCCACAGTGGTCTCTGAAGGCTGAGCTGCAGTCATTCTCCTGCCCTCTTTCCGGATGATCTCCATCAGGTCGCCTAAAACGGAAAACAAGTTAAACACGATCAGATTCAAATTACAAAGAATGTATAATATTCTCAAACATGAAGAGTGTAAACAAACGCAAACCATTGCTTCATAAGCAGATGAAGGTTTTCTATTGTTCACACACAGCTTTCAATCAGCTTTAAAGACAATTGTTTTGGTCATATTAATAGTAAAAACTTATAAACATTACTACGCATTTCACTCTATGTAGTACACGTGTTGCACATATAGAGAAGGCATGTTGCACTAACAGCTTGAGCTGAAAATTAGGCTAATGTTGTTCCAGCAGAGTTTTGACAGCTGGTACAAAGATGTGTAATTTGTCCAAACTCTGCCATCATTTTTGACAAGTTGTATGGCGGTTCACCGCTTTGCTCCAACATCAGAGTCGATTTGAAATGAATAAAAACAAAGCGGTGATTCGAAGCACCTGCGCTGCTCCACCGAGCCTGGGCTGTGATCCTGCGGAGTAACGCGGTCGTTTCTCGGGCGGTCTCAGCCGAACCCCTCAGAGGTCCGGTCCCGCTGCCTCCCCGCTTCAAGTCGGATAGAAAAGCTTCGACCCTCTCCGTCAGGTCTGTTTCTTTGTATGGACCCGGCATGGTTGACGGAAATAAAACCAAATTTCAGTAAAAAAAAAAAAAGGGCCAGCTGAATATCTGCTGTGAAATGATGCAAAACGGAAGTACTTCGGAAGTACATCCGGGTCACAGCGAGAGCGCCTCTTTCTGATTGGTGGAATGATTGACGCAACTGTAAATTTACCATGCTAAAACCTAGATTTATAGTTTTTTTCTACTTATCTTTCTTCGTATATGTCTACTTTAAAGTATTGTACCAATGCAAAAGCCATAAAAGCTAAAACACTCTGTAACGAATTTCCATTGTAAACTGCCCAAAACATAATCTCATGTTATTATTTACCTATATTTTTCTTTTTTGTTACGCCTGCCTTAAGTCTCGAGCTATGTGTGCCATTGAAGTTAGGTTTTTTTTGTATTTGTTTTGTAGTTTTTTTGTACTTGTTTTGTATAAATAAAAAAATAAAAAGTTAAATGAGGTCATCTGGATGGATTCTTCTTGGTAGAAACGTTTCGTTTTTCATCTGAAAGACTTCATCAGTCTGAGGGCCATGCCACAAACTCAGTCTTTCACAGTAAAAGGAGGACCATCAGTCACCAATAGATCATTAGTGCCCTGGTGGCCGCTTGCTATTCACAGAAGCAGTCTGAGGACATCCTGGCCAAAGTGGTTTATAAAAAAAATCCTGAAAGTTAAGTCAGGTCATCTGGATGGATTCTTCTTGGTAGAAACATTTAATCTTTCATCGGAAAGACTTCATCAGTCTGAAGGTCATGCCACAAACTCAATCCTAAAAATAGCACCATCTCAAAGTAGATAAACCAGTTTACTGGAGACCCAAGAACCAGCTTTTCACATGCAAAAGGAGGACCATCAGTTTAACAATAACTCATAACAATCGATCCCACAAAGTTAAGTCATCCAAAGGACTTCATCAGTCCGAGGAGCCACAACAAACTCAGTCTTATAAATAGAACCCTTCACATAGTGGGTCAACCAGTTTTAATTGTGCTAAGATGGTTTCTGGAGCCTGCCCTCTCCCCCACCGACTTGTCTGAGGCAGCCATGGCCAAGTGCTTCAAAGCATCAATGTTCATGCTCAGTAATCCAGGTTAAAAAAATCCAACAAATTTAAGTCAGGTCTTCTGGACGTTTTTGTTTGTTTGTTGTTGTTGAAATGTTTTGTCTTTCATCCAAAAGACATCATCGTCCGAGGAGCCACAACAAACTCAGTTTTATAACAATCGATCATTAGTGCCCCATGGCCGCTTGCTATTCACAGAATCAGCCTGAGGAACACCTGACCAAACTGGTTCAAAATGTTCTGATGTAAGCTCAGTCATCTTTTGCTTAGAGTTTTATTCATTTCATTTTACCCTTATTTGACCAGGCATAAACATTAAGAACAAATTCTTATTTACACTGCTGGCCTGTCAAGCACCAACAGGTACTTGTAGGGTCAAGGGAAGGAAGTAAGGCAAAACCAAAGAAGTAATTAACAAGCAAGGACACAAATTATTGAGACATTCATGGTCAAAATTAAATGACATGACTAAACTTGAAAACATTTGCAAGTATCTTTAAAAACGGCTTTAAAACAATTTTTAAAACTAGAAACTGAGACAAGTGAGATCAGACCCTAAGTTTTTTTTTTTAGCAGATTCCAGAGGCAAAGGCCACAGAGCCAAAGTGTTAACACCACAAATACTGAGAGGATCCGGTGTTTTACTTTGAAACTGCCGCCAATAGTTGCAGTAGATGAGTTAAATGTGGAGGTGAATGACCCAGCAACATCTTATAAATTAGAATAAACCAAAGTTTTTTTTATTTATTTTTATTTTCATCTGAGAGTTAAGTTCATAGACATAGGAGACTATACTATACCATGCTATAATGTACTGTAGTGTAGTACACCATACTATAGTGTAGTGTAGCATACATACATGTACTGTACCATACTATAATGTACTGTAGTGTAGTATATCAATCAACCTTTATTTATACAGGTAAATCCCATTGAGCCTCGAGGACTCATTTACAAGAGAGACCTGAATATCATACTATAATGTACTGTAGTGTAGTATATCATACTTTATTGTACTGTACTGTGCAATATGATACTATACTACAATATACTGCATCGTACTGTACTGTAGTGTAATGTATAGTGCCCTGAGACCAACTTCTGTTGTGACTTGGCACTATATAAATAAACTGAATTGATTAATGTATTTACTATAGTTTTTGGTTTGGATGTAAATCATTGACATGAAAATTATTTTTTTTATACTTTTATGGTCTTTCAATGAATACATTCTGTATAAAAACATTTTTATATGGTATTTTAATATTTGAAATAAAGTTTAAAAAATGAATTTTTTTGAAGACATGACAACACTCCACCTGTACATACTAGTCCTGCATGTGTGATAACTTGAACTGAAAAAATCTATGGAAAATGAGACAAATACCATTAGCATCACAAAGCATGAATTTTTTTTTAATCTTCTATGCAGAGTTTTTCCTAAATATATCCAAGTATATAAAGATCTTTTCTGACTATATGCTGAATATTGATGGATATTTTATTGACCCATTCCTCTCATTTATGAGATTCAAGGGGGAAAAAAAATCACTTAAAAAAAATAAATTATACAGTATATTTGGGTTGATATAAAAAAATCAAAGAAAACATATCAAATCATAATCTTGAAATACTAAAAGACAGACATGTTTTGTATCAACTACCATGAGACATTGTGTTGTAACAGAAAACCCAACTTTACCTTTTTGTCTTGTTCATTTTACCAAAACAAAGGTCGTGGCCAGAATAAAAGAAGCTGCCACAACAGTATAATGAAGTTTTAACTGCTTCATATGTTCCCTATTATTAATTAAAAACAAGCAATGCTGTTTTTCCACTTTCAATGAGCCAGTCAAACAGTAGATGGAGGTGTCATCAAGTTCAGTGGATGATTAGTTCCAGGTTGTTTTTGTTTTTTACGTTCATCTGGAAGATGATTCAGCTGACAAACTGACTCAACTTCCTCCTGGAAAGCATCGACAGCAGCTGCCCCCATGAACACCCGGCTGTCAGCTTTTCACTAAATGAGTCTTCAAACTTTGTTTTAAAACAGTTTTTCACAGGTTTCTGTGTAACTTCTGCTGACTGGTGGACATATGCAGGCAGAGAGGCATACCATTCTTACATGACGTTAAACCAGCTGTAAATTTTGATGGTTCAGACTTTATTTTATCTGTTAAATGTAGTTTGATATAAAAATTTTTGGGATGAATAAATTAACTAAATACTTAAACACAATATCTAAATACAACTCTATCCATCTGTGCATCTTTCCAAAAACACTGGGGCTCCTCGTAGTGAGACATGAATGTGTGGGGTTTTAGGCTCCAGTGTAGACTGAAGATCATTGCTTTAAGACGTCAACAAAACCACATCACCTGCAAAAAGCCAAGATGAGACTCTGAGGTCCCTAAACCTGACACCTGCCTCCTGCACCTTGAGATCCTGTCCTGTCCACAAACTGGACAAGAGACAAGGGACAGCATAAGTGGAGTCCAACCTGCACTGGGAACAGGCTTTACTTTGTGTTGAGAAAAAAGCAGAGACAGAGCTCTTGCTTTAATTGTACAGGAACCAGGTATCCCTTAAAAACAACCCGGACACCCCCCCACAAATTCATTTGGGTACACAGCCATAAACTATCTTCAGATCCACACGACATGTGGACTGGACAGTCAAACTCTCATGACCCTCTCAGCAAACCTACAAGGATGAAGATCCGGTCCACAGTTCTGATGAAAGCCATATGGCTCCTCCTTTACAACACCACTATCCCTGCAGGCAAGTGTCGTCTCAGTCGTCCACCCAGAGGCTCTGAAGAGTCCTGTCACAGTTGTCCCAAAAGTATCCAGACTCTTCACCATCACAGGACTAAGCTCATCCACTCAGCAGTGGAGCTTTTTACCACAGCCACTTTAAAAATTGTAATAAACTCACTTTCCACCAAGTTCTCAAAGGTGGACATGGTGGCCAAACTCAAGAGACTAAAGCACTTTGGTCAACGGTGTTGTTTTAAAGTGCTTTATAAATAAAGTTGTATAAAGTTGTATTGTATAAAGGTTCCCATCCACAACTTGGGCCGGGCCCTTTGCTAAGGTGCTGGACAGTTTGTTGTCCTTGAGGCCAACCAAATATCCTTCCCCATGGTCGCAAAGTGGCCATAGTGGTTTATTTGAAACCTATATCCATCCATCCATTATCTTTACCCGCTTATTCCATTTTGGGTCACGGGGGTCACTGGTGCCCATGTCCAGCAATCACTGTGCGAGGGGCGGGGTACACCCTGGACGGGTCGCAAGTCCATCACAGGGCGAAACCTATATCTTATAGATTAAATGTATTTATTATAAAGAGATTGCTCATGAGCCTTGAGAAGGACTAGCGACCTGTGCAGGGTGTACCGTCTTTCACCCAGTGCTTGCTGGAGATGGAAGTCAAAGACAATGAATGAATGAAGTGGATGGATGATTCCTTGACATGTATGTTCAATCGTATTCCTTAGTTGGGTTTTGCACAATAAACTGAAAATATTGTGTTTTCCTATTAAAATGTTTTATTCTTTTTATTTTTTCTTAACGTTGTTGTTATACAATTGTTTAAACGGGTTTAAGAACATTTCTAAAGGACACTTTCCATTTTTCACTGGACATTTTATTCAGCACTTTTTTTGGTTCGGATTGAGGAATTGACATTTCAGTCAGATCAGTTAGTTCTTGATTGAATCTTTCAGCATGTTGAACCCCATTGTCTTTCTTTAAATCAAGGTATGTTGGAGTTGGTAAATAAAATACAGAGGGAGGATGTGTGTGGATCTTTGGGGGAGGTATCCTATGAACACTGGTTTATAAAGAGGAATGAAAGAACTGGACCAGAGAGCAGCCCACGAAAAGTGGTTTTCTTCTTCTGATGATGAATCAGTTTTTCTTTTAGCTTCAGTTCATCTGCGTTTGCCTTGACCCTGTTTTTACCGTGTTCCTGAACTTACATGTGCAAGTATGTGCGTTCAGTTTTATTATCCTTTGAAGGACCAGTAGTCCTTATGGGGGCCAAAGCCTGGTTCTGATATGATGGGACATCAATTTTGGATTAGAAGTTTAGTTTGGAGCTAAAACTGAGTTTGTTACATTCTGAACACATCAATACAATGTCCTAATAGGACTTGTGTGTGTGTGTGTGTGTGTATGTGTGTGTGTGTGTGTGTGTGTGGGGGGGGGGGGGGGGGTTAATGGATTGAATGGGCATTCAAGGTCGTGATCTAATGGATTTATATTTACATGCCTGCCTTCAGCTACTCCTTAGTCGGTCCATTAGAAAAAAAAAAAAAAAAAGAATGCCTTTCAGAGAAACAACCTTAAAATATTTGATTGACCTGAAGCTCAGATGTTTCACTTAGTCTGTCGTTGTTGGTTCTGAGGGAAAAACAATATTTGACGCCAACTTAGCATCAAGAAATTCTTTTTTTTTTTAAAGATACACAGAAATACAAAAAAAAAGGGTCATTTTACATTTAAAACATCAAAACTCATTTACAGTGTAACAAAAGCAAGAACTATCTGTTAAATGGTACATTTTTGGTCAGATGTTCTTTTGGCAGTACCTGCAGGTACCGTATTTTCTGTTGTACAAGTAGCGCCGGTGTATGAGTCACATCATTCCAAAAATGTCTAATAAAATGGAAGAATGGAAGAAAACATAAATAAGTCGCGTGTATTATGCGTCACCGCTGACAACCCGGGAAATGTGCGCTGGTGTTGTGCCAAAAATTGATTGGATGTCAAATGGCAGCCGTTGGAGCGTGCACGGGAGGACATTAACAAGAATTTAACAAGAATAACACTTAAAAACAATTATATGTTTGCTCGACATTATAGCAAGGTGTGTCTCAGTTGAACTTTTCCTTAATAAATGCACTTTAATGGTCAAAACAGCTTCATTTCGCCTGGGCGCTTGATTTTGCCTGGGCATTCAAAGTCAAAAATTTGGTTATAAATATTGGGGAAAAAACGTATATTAGTCGCTTCGGTGTATAAGTTGAAGGACTTGCAAATTAATGCAAAAAGGTGCGACTTATACTTCGTAAAATATGGTACATTGCAAATACATGAATTACAATTCAGCTACTGACCTCTTCTCAAGAGGGGATGAAGATGAAAATATATTCTCATAATTTGAACAGGATTAAATAGTAACCTCAGCAGGACCGCAGGTGCCTCTTGGTCTGGATCAGTGCTGTCCAATCCTGGTCCTTGAGATCCACTGTCCTGCACGTTTTAGTTGTTTCCCTGCTCTTCAGCAGGTCTTCAAGTTCTGCAGAAGCCCACTCGTTCATATCAGGCGAGTCATTGGCTAAAACACGCAAAATTAGTGGTCTTCAAGGACCAGGACTGGACATCCCTGGTCTTCTTCTTCTGTACGTCTTCAACTTCTGACCCTTCCTCCTTCATGTCAGGTTCCTGGCCTCTTCCCTCATCATAGTGGGTCAGAGTTATGGTTGAGAAAACCAATAACAGACTTTCATCGTTTTGTTGCTACAGAATAAACTTGAGCTTCAAAATTTTTCATAAGAGTTGCCGGAAAAAGTTTTATATAGATTTTAAACAAAGTTTGATCAGTGACGTTGCCTTCACGTTTGGCGTTGCGTTTAATTTCCTAAAGAGGAATTTGCACATTAAATCAAAAAAAGAAATATACTTTTTGTTGGACGTAGAGCCTGAAAATGTGATTTCATATTTAAATAAAACTGATTTAAAAGAGGAGAAAAAGACTTTTAAGAAAACAATTTCTGAGAAAGTATTTTTTTAAATCAGAAAGAACTCAAAACTCAGTGACACCTGCAACAACTGTCGTATTTGGAAAATGAGCGTGCAAAAACATCAATCCTGTGCAGAAACAGCATTAGTGCCGGTGAGGACTCGGACAAAGGGGAAGATGCTGCAGCAGCTGTGTGGGTTTGTAACTGTACACCCCGATTCACACGTTTGAATCCCATCTTCCCTCCAGTGACGACATGTCGCCTTCGTGTTAATCTGCCTATCTGTGCTCTGACATTTACCACACCACAAACAGCGTGGGGCAGAAAATAAAGATTTCCACGCTGAGTCTTTTTGTGTTTGTTTAAATGTTTCGATCGACTTTGTGCTTAAAGTGGCAAATGCATTTTAAACGTGAGTGAAAACAAAAGGAAAACATACTTTTTCACAAATCTAAGGATGAAAACAGAAACAAAGAAAAGTTTGAGTTGGTTTCTAAGAAAAGTGAGTTTGTGTGAAGATGGTTGGAGAAAGAGGAGGAAGATGTTCTATTAGGGATGTTTATGAGCATGAATGAATGCTGACAATGACGTCATGCATGTGTGTGTGTGTGTGGGGGGGGGGGGGGTGTCCTTGACAGGCAGAATATAAAAGTCGAAAACCGGTCGAAACATCAGCAGAAGAGGAGCAACAACAAAAAAACAAAGCTTCATCCAGAAAGACAAGAAAACAGCAACAGAGGAAGAGGAGGAAAAATAGAGAACAGGTGAGAACTTTTAATGCTTTTCTGTTTTAATTTTAATCAGCGTTACCTGGAATTTTGAGATTTGTTCTGTTTCAAATATTGTATGATTAATAAAATTAACTAAATGTCTTAGAAACTTCCATGATGAATAAATTAGCCATTTATTTTTATTATGGAATGAAAAATGGTTGTGCAAAAACAAGAGCATGAACCAAATATCATCTAATATTGTATTTATTAGACTCATGTGTTTAAACTTTTCATTATTTTTTTATAACTCCAATTGAAATATATATATTTTTTTTAATTAAACATGTTAAAATAAAGATGTAAATGAAATAAACTTGATTACACCATTTTTTTTATTATTATACTATTATTCAAATTAAATATATTATTATAATTATTAAACTATGCACTTGATTAGCCAAAAATATTATTATTATATTATTAAAATTAAATATATTATTTTAATTATTAAACTATGCACAAAATATAAATTTTATTATAATAGTGTACAGTACCAGTACATAAAATGCGTTTTTATTTGTGTCACAGATAATACAAACTAAAAAATGTTTTCTCTTTCAACTATTTAGTTTATTTGTTGTAAAATAAAGTAAAACTGAAACAAAATAAGCAGAAAATAATGTTTACTTGAAGTATTTTGTCTTCGTTTCTCTGATTGGAGCAGAGGAGATGTGTCCTGTGTGGCTATTGGTGGTCGTGGTGGTTGTGGGCGGAGCCAGAGGAGCTGTCAGTCAATGCTGGGAACATCCGAGCTGCCAGGATGTGAACACTGAGAGCAGCATGATGGTAACAGACTTATTCTGGGTGTTTTATACTTTTAAGTCTCAAAAAATGAGAAATGTGACGAAACATAAAAGGTTTGAAGCCTTTTGTTGTTTTTGTTTAGTTTTTTGTCACATTTTCATTTAATCTACCACCTGACATTTCTCTAGTTTCTCTTTAAGCAGGATGAAAATCAGGAGTAGATTTATTTACGACATGATTTCCTCCTCTTCATCTCAGGAGTGCATTCAGCTCTGCCGGTCCGACCTCACTGCTGAGACACCCATCATCCCAGGAAATGCTCACCTCCAGCCCCCTCCTCCATCAGAGCCCTCCTCCTTCATGACCTCCTCCATCCCCCCTTCTCAGGCCAAACGCTCCTACTCCATGGAGCACTTCCGCTGGGGGAAACCTGTCGGACGGAAACGCCGCCCGGTCAAAGTCTACACCTCCAACGGCGTGCAGGAGGAGTCCGCTGAGGTGTTCCCCGGAGAGATGAGGAGGCGAGGGCTGACCAATGAGCTGCTGGCAGCTGTGGAGGAGGCGAAGGCTCAGAAGGTGATGGAGGAGGCAGAGGAGGAGCATCAGCAGTTCCTGGGAGGCCTGCAGGAGAAGAAAGACGGCTCGTACAAGATGAAGCACTTTCGTTGGAGCGGCCCTCCGGCTGGAAAACGCTACGGGGGCTTCATGAAGAGCTGGGAGGAGGGACGGCAAAAACCGCTGGTGACGCTCCTGAAAAACATCATGAATAAGGAGGAGCAGAAGTGAGAGGGGAAAGAAAGGAGCGTACATGCCTGCTCAGCAGCCACGAGTTCCCGTTAATAACCAATAAAAAGTTCTGAAACTGCTGTAAGTGATGCATGACGGTCACTGAGAGGAAACGAGGAAGATGGAGAGGTTTTGATATTTGCTTCATGTAAATAATGTATTTATTATACGAAAACAGAGTTATTTGCAAGCAAACACCAGACGTGTTGGTCTTTCTTTCTGCTCTCACACACAAAAACTCCTGAAATCTGAAAATGAACGTGACATAACAAGAAAGAAAGAAAAGGTTTCTGTTTAAACATATTTTATCTAAACCAACAACAAACAAACAAAAAACGAAGCGTGAGTTAGACTGCATGAAAAGCTGAATCTGAATAACAAACAAGAGGCCTTGTTCTGGTGGCCCACATCTTCAGAAAACTTTCTGGAGGCGCCGCTGATTAGAGGTGTCCTCAGAACATCCATCTATTATGTTTACTGCCTTGTCCAGTAGTCACTGTATGAGAGGCGGGGTACACCCATAGAAAGGTTTGTAAGCTCAATCATTCTCCCTAAAAGAAACTTGTCCAGATGACATGATTGAACCTTTTTTGTGCACCCATAGAGTTAAATAAAACACTAGAGGGGGCAATGGTCATGTGACTTTGATGCACTGTAGTGATGGCAGCCATTACCAGAACAGTCAGCACTTGAAAATCAACGAATCCTGTATCTTTAACCATTTCTTCCTTATCGGGTCATGGGGCCCCATGATGGGGGTCACTGGGGCCCATATCCAGCTGTCATTGTGTGAGAGGCGGGGTACACCCTGGACACGTCTCCAGTCCATCACAGGGACAGAGAGACAAACGAGACAACCCTTCACTCACTCACTCACTCACACCTAGTGACAATTTAGAGTTACCAATCAGCCTAACATGCATGTTTTTGGTCTGTGGGAGGAAAATGGAGTACCCGGAGAAAACCCACGCATGCATGGAGCGAACATGCAAACTTCACCCAGAAGGACCCCTGGCCAGGATTCATTCATTCAAGCTTTATTTAGACAGGTTCATCCCATTGAGCCTTGGGGACTCATTTACAAGAGAGACCTGAAAATTCGATCTAGTGACCTTCTCAACAGCTCTACCAACTGCGCCACCGTGCCGTCTGCGCTTGAAAATGTCAAAAATAATCGAATGTCAGTAATATAATAACAATGATAAAATATTAGAATGTATATAAAAATGTCAGAAAGCTGTGTGCTACAGATAGGCCTGTCACAATAAATAATAAATGAATTAATTGCATGATAAATGAAAATGATCAACCTCATTTTCATTTATTGGCTTCATTGTTTGTGTCACTCTTTCTACTGAAGACACTGGATGACAAGCTCTTGACTGACCCCTCCCTTTCTCTTTTGGCTCTTTTCTTTAAAATCTGTTTAAACTGTCCAAAATTGTGTTTTTGTATCGTTAAAAGCAGCTAAGCTGAGAAGCTAAGCTAAACACTCAAACTCGGGGAAAAACCTCCGTCTTGTCGGAGCTCCAAAAATTCACAGTTGAAACCCGTGCCTTCGTCTAGAAAGTTGTTTTTCTCTGAAAAAAGAAGCTGAGAACTTGTTTACTGATTTTTTAAAGTTTTGTGTGAAAAATGCTACGCTAGAGAGCTCAAACCGCACTGAGCGTCCGCCATTTTGAGAACCGGAAAACAGGAAGGAGAGACAGTCCATGTCACGTCAAGGAGCCTCGCTCCCATTTTTCTTAAAGCGACACGCTGCTTGCTCCCTCACTATCCATCCTTCAGTTCAAACAGTCTTATACTGCCATCCAGTGGTCAAAAAAGGTACTATACATAAAACCAACATTTCTTAAATTTGACAATAATTACTAATTATAGTCAAATTTCAAACTATTATTATCGTTTATCGCAATAATTTCAGAGACAATTAATCGCCCAGCAAAATTTGTTATCGGACAGGCCTAGCTACGGATGTTAGCAACAGAAAAAGGAAAACAACATGTCTCCTTACACAATAGGTTTGATCTTATTTACCTCAGTGTGAATATAATCTGACAAGAACCAAAGCTAATAACTGTTAGGTAGCCTATAAAGCTGATGTAATCGATATTAATTGTTGAATTGGCTAGTAGACAGTAGCTTCTGTGGCATATACTGCCATGTCGTACAGGTTGAATCATGCTGCAGTTTAGTACAAATTATTAAAAAGTACAAGCTGGTATTTCCTCGGGTAACAAATTCTAAAAGTGTACCGGTACTTTATAGGCTTTGATATGGACATTGATCACTGCAATTAGCAGAGCCTACATACACAATTTACATGTTAAAAAGTTAGTTTCAATTTCATAAACTAGTTGTAATTATTAAACCAGCTAAAGTCTTGAAATCATTGGAAGTCAGTCATTAATTATTGACTGACTTCAGATCTACAGTAGTTTAGATCATCATTAGTTAGAGCCAATATATTTTCGTATAACATCTAGCTGCTTTACGTGACTGTTCTATGAAATTAACAATAATTATGAATTATATTGTTATTGTAAAGATATTAAAGTAATTTGTGGCACAGATTAGATGTGACATTTAAGTTGCTATGTCAGATGAGCAGGGATTCAATCAGCCAATTTTCTCGCCGAGAGGAGAAAGCTCTACCAACTGTGCCACCGGTCTGCTGTCCTCAGAACAGTTAGTTCTAATAAGACCGTTAAAATGTTTCCATTGTGGGCATGAGTGATATGTTCGGGATGAGACAGGGACAACAAAGTGACGTCGCACACTTCAGATCTTCAAATCTAGATTTTGAAATAAGTCAAAAAACCGAGGAGAAAACGTGCAAAGAGCTGAAGATGAAAACAAGTGAAGCCACAACTTTCAGGTCTGGAGTGGTCCTCATCACTGATCTCATCACTGATACATTTCCAACATCCTCTTCCTTCTTCAGATCATTCACTTCTTCTGGTGTGTGGCACTGCGAATGATCGACTGCATGATTCTACTAAACAAAAATGAAGAACGTTAACAGATTTAAAACCCGAGTTAAACTCGCCACAATGAACTTTTCACAGTTAACTCACCTTCACCTGGACGGACGCAGCTCCGTGGAAATAAGCCTCACTCTTTGTTACTTAACAAAGCTGATCATCACTATGGAGTACGCTGTTTGTGGGAATCAGTTTGTTTGGTGGCTCCTCGGATTGATGAAGTCCTTTGGATGAAGGACGAAACATCTCAGCAAAGAACTGTCCAGATGATCCGACTGAACATTGTTGGATTTTAATCTGGATTATTGAGCATGAACTTTAGTGTAACAAAGCTGTGGTTCAATTAGAAGAAAAGGAAAAGTTTTTATCATCCACTCGGCCCTGATGGTCAACAGGAAGTTTATACAAAGAACCAATGTGGTGTTCATACCACACCCCCACCTCCCACTTCCTTCTTTCAGCTGCTCCCTTCTTCAGGGGTCGCCACAGAGAAACTCATACAAAGACTTTGCTTTTTTTTATTTTACGCCGGATGCCCTTCCTGACACATCGACCTCTGAGGAGGCTGCCTCCTGAGGTCCCTGGTTAGAGAGGGTGAGCCTGTGGGAGGTCAATGGTTTGAATCCCTGGACCAAAAACAAAAAAAATTGGTTGGAAAAGGTGAAGCATTCACATCTTGTATGCCCAACTTGGGAGCAAGGTCCTTAAACCAGGGCTATTCAACAAAACTGCTCAGTCGGCCATCCAGTCGTCATGTAAATAAACCAAGTTTTACAATGATCTGTTACCTTTTACATTTGTTTAATGCAATAATCCAAACCCCGAACTAAAAAATAGATGCATCTTTTTTTAATGAACTCATTGGTGGGCTGGACTGAAGTCACGAGCCACCAGTTGAATATATAGTCCCGTCTTAAACCCTCACCTCTGCACCAGCTCCACTCCTCCACAGTCAGGATTAACCAGCTAAATACCAGTAAAGCTAGTTTCTGTGAGTGACGTGACTCAGAAAAGCATCTTTTAAACACCAAAGCTCATGCTCATTAATCCCAGGTATAAATCCAACTATGTTCAGTCAGGTCGTCTGGATGGTTTCTTTGATTGTTGAGATGTTTCATCCTTCATTCAAAGGACTTCTTCAATCTGAGGAGCCAACAAACAAAACAAAAAAAAAACACCCAGATGACCTGACTGAACATTGTTGGATTTATACCTAGATTATTGAGCATGAACTTAGGTGATTTGAACCAATTCAGCATGGCTATCTTAGAGCTGACGGGGGAGAAGGGGGGACCCCAGAGGCCATCTTACCACCAACAAACTGTGTTTTTTTACTCTGGGTGTGTGCAGTTTGTGGGATTCAGTTTGGTTTGGTGGCTCTTCAGACTGAAGAAGTCCTTCGGATGAAACGTCTCGGCTACAAAAGAAACCATCCAGGCAACTAACATTTTAAATGGTCCTTTTTAAAGTTAAAATTCCAATTTCATCTAAAACTTTATTCCTAAAGTTAGCCCTCATTTAAGTTTTTTTTAAACTGTTGTTAAAGCAATATCAAAAATCTAAAGATATGGCATGTATCAAATTTGTGCTACTTTTTCCATCTTGTCTTTATATTGATGGTATTTTAGTAAAAAACATTGTCAGAATAGGACATTTAATGTTCTTGAAAAAAAAAAAAAATTTTACACAACAAAATAACTCCTGTAAATCCATCCAATATTTTATTGAATAAAAGCCCAACACAAATTTACAAAAAAATGTATCAGTCAACATAAAAATCACTGACTGTGCTGAATGCACGTTAATTGTAAAAACTGTACCAGGACAGCCTCAATTATTCCCCGTCCAAAACAAGATCTGCAACCACCCACAGTTAAGTGACCCAAGCCTCAAACATTTCTAAAGAACAAAAAAAAAAAGCAAGGACACTGGATGGATCTGCAAGGGTTGTTATTGGAAACTGGTAATCTGAAAACTTCACGTGAACAATAAAACAAAGAACGTAAAGCAAAGGGACAAATGTTTGTAACTTTTCATTTCTTGTCACGACCTCCAAACAACTTTGTGACAAGAGAAACTTGTAGAAATGCATCAATCTAATTACGCTGGAGGGAAAACAGGATTTTTGGAAACTTTTGATGGATGTTTCAGGAACAACCTGAACATGCACGAAGCTCATAAAAGTGACTTGATTTACATAAAACTAAAAATCAGAAAACAAACCCAGCCCAGTAGAAATATACCAGTAGAAGCAACTAAGTGGCAATTACTTGGTGAAAAACAAACTAAATATACTGTTGAATACATGTATGCTATTTAAGTGACACAATACAAAGTTTCAGTGGTTGCCAATTGAAAGTAACAAACCATATTTTTAAAGAAGCCTTCACTTGAGAAAAGGGCACCGAGGATCTAGTTTGTGTGGCGTGGCAAAGAACAGATTTCAACAGAAGGGCAGAAACGTTCACTCATGGCACATCCACTCAAACGGAGTTCAAAAAAAAAAAAAAAAAAAAAAAAGCCACTGAACTGACGAGATCTTACTCGGTGAGCTGCGACACTAAAAACAGTGCAGAGAGAGACGCACATCTGTCTGCACAGCTTTTTGTGACTCCTGCTATAAAATGTATTTTCAGCCCCGTCAGGAAAACCTTAACACTCTCGACCTTTAAAACTAGATTTCGAGCCTCTCGACCCCACTTGCTGTTGTTTTGTTGAAGCTAGTCCAAGGAGGGTGGATGCTGGGATGTGTCTGCTGACTGGCAGGCAGGATCCTTGGTCCTGAGGGAAAGGAGCCAGACGATCCGATCTACTCGATCAGCTTCTTTGCCTTGAAGAAGCGCCGCAGGTAGAAGACCTGCCATGTGGCCAGTCCAATGAGACAGCACATGGAGAATATACTGAAGTACAGCACCCGCGTGTTTGTGGACTCTGGACATTAAAACAGTGACAACACTGGACATCACTTTATCTGTATACAACAACAAAACCACTAAATGTCCGTTTTCTTTTTGAATGCCTCCCAGTAAACATTTTTAATTTGTGAATCTGCAGTTCTTACCGTTGGTGTCCCGCATCTCCTCCTCCCTCTTCTTCATATAAGCAAAGTCGTTCACGATGGACTCCGACAGGTCCTCCAGCCGCCTCAGCTCAACCTCAAGAGGCTTCAGTTTCTCCACTTTCGCAATCTGAAGAGTCAAAACGGAGAAGAATGAAACCAGTGACAGAGTGGAGCTGGTGAACACTTGGTCCACCAGGTGTCCCTCTTGAGCTGTTCGGGTTGAAAAGTTTCTCACTTCCTGTTCACCTGTGTCTGAACATTGACGTGTGACGTCAAGTGTCAAAGTTAAATTATGCGATATCAGAGAATGTTGTGGACAAAGATAAACACGTAAATAAACAAACAAGGTTTTGACTGTTTAACTGCATTCATCCCTCGATTATATAATCCAACAACGTTCAGTCAGGTCGTCTGGCGGCCCCAGAAACCATCTGATCACCAGCACATTTGATGGTCCACTATGAGAGTGTGCTTCTTGTGGGGAAACCGTTTGTTTGTGGCTCCTCAGATTGATGAAGTCTTTCGGATGAAACGTCAACAACAACACAAAAAACCCCCACAAAAAAAACATCCAGATGATCTGACTGAACGTCGTTGGATTATTTACCTGGATTACAGAACATTTGATGCCTCGATAACGTTTTATTTCTGAAGACATTTCTTTGTAATATTTAAATGTTTTTGATTAGACCGTACATTTCAATTTTACATTTTAGCCCAGTTCTTGCACAATCATCTTTTAAAATAACTTTATTAAAAGCCAAACACAGTTAAGTGTCATTTCAGATATTGTTTGTCAGCTGTTCTTTACTGCTTCTCCTTTTGCAAACTACTAGTGCTTTGTGTATTTTTAGCTAATGTTTTTCTTAGTTCATATTTTAGATCAATGCTTTTATTTTTCATGTTCTACTTTTGTTGGATGGGACCCTGAGTACACAATTTCGTTCCACCTCATGTACCACATGTGATGCGAACGACAAAGACCCTTGAATATTAAGAAAACATTTAAAACCAGCTCAAAAGCCGATAAAGTTCAAGATCAAATATTACACAAAAGCAAAGTCATCCAGAAACGAGGAGTGGCACAAAACGTTAGAGCAGAGCTGCACAAGCTGTAGTCCATCATCTTGATTTCCAGCAGAAACGCTCCGACTAAACATTGTTCTGTGGAGTCTTGGAGCACAACCTGATGCCAGACAAGAATGAAGCGAGGATCTCGTGTAGAAATATTTAGAAACAAAAATGTCAAATTCCGGGAGACTAAAGAACCACTAGAAAAGTGCAAGAGAATATTAATAGAAAACATTTGAGGCTTCTATTCCTACATTGAGAGTTTCTCAGGACGCACCAACAATACACAACCATGAAAGAGTATTAAAAAGACCAACGTAAATAACAAAAATTCAGAAAACCACTCCCCCCCCTGCATTTATAACCAAAGTTACTTTTCTTTTTTACATCTTCCTCTTTACAGATTTTATTCCGATATCTGTCGTTACAACGGGACAAATTTTATTTGAACCAGTTAAAAAATAGACTCAACAATTTTTTCTGTTAAAAAAAAAGTATTGGACTACATATCATTTACATATCTGATACTACATACATTTGTACTTTTTTTTTTTTGGACCCTCCTTGAATAAAGATGTTTGCTTTTTCATTATTTTTAACGAAACGTCACAACTTGGTTCTAATAACCAAGTCAGATCCTCTGGACAGATTCTTCTTATTGAAATGTTTCATCTTTTATTCAAAAGTCTTCTTTAGTCTGAGGAGCTACAACAAACTCAGCAGCACCTTCTCATAGTGGATCAACCAGTTTGCTGATGACAGCCAAAACTAATTGTTTGCATGCAAAGGGAGCACCATCAGCCATCTGACGGCCACTTGCTATTCAGAGGGCTGAGTGATGCTAGCAACAACAGCAAAGTAAGAGGGCGACAGTTGGACACGGAGGCCTCCGCCCGTTTAATGATGGACGAGTTCAGTCACAACTCATCTTTTGGTAAGTAATTCTACTACGAAGCTGAAAATAAAAAATATGCATAAATATAATGAGCCTGTACACATTTTTATTCATTAGAAACATGAAGAGTTTACGACTGAGGCACATAAATACACAAACTGTATCTGCCAAATAAACATTCCTCAAGCATTGTGAAACTTCAGGAACGTCGTCTTCGCTACAGCTTGCACATTTATTCAAGTGTGATGCAAGTGAATACGTGCGCAACTTGAGCTCCACCCTCCTGTGCACAGACAGGAATGCCCTGTGAACATCCACCGACGCACCCGTTCAGATGAACAATCTGCAACGTTTACACAACACGTGCGTTCAGGGAGGGCGAACCTCAGGTCAAATGAGTTCTCCCTCCTTAAGTTCTCAAGGTTCACCTGAGGGAGGCAGATCCTCCAGATTACCAACATGGTAATGCAGTGTTATGTCCTTGTACAAGAAAACAAAGAGTAATGAAAAAATATTCCTCCTGAATTTAATGTTGATCTTTACTTAACAGACTGACACTTTTATATCTAATGATGGTGACAAAAGATGCACACACTGTTAGTAAGAAGTAAATCAGTGAGTGGACCTGATTTATAAATGCAACATTGTTTACTTTAAAAAAGTTGCGATTTATTTTAGCACCGAGCATCAATTTCATGAACGACTTGCAACTTGTTGAAACGTGTTAATCCAGCTAATTCAAGACAGTTGAGAAAGACCTCAAACCAACAGAATAAGGAACATTAAGACTTGAGATTTAAGGTAATTGATTAAAATGAACAGATTATAAATTATCTACAATATTTGAATCCAGCCTTCTCAATAACTTTTTGAGTAGGAGGTTAACGGCTCAGAGTAGGAGGCTGGAGTCATTTCCAACATCAACCCACAGATGTTCTGTGAAAATATTTGTGAACAAGCTGTTTGGGGGAAGAATCAGTTTTGTGTCGCGTGTTTCCTTGACTGATGAAGTCTTCGGATGGAAGGTGAAACGTTTCAGCACCAAAAAAACGAAACTGTCCAGATGACCCGACTGAAAATTGTTGGATTGTTTACCTGAATTATTGAGCATGGACTTTGTTGGTTGGTGAACACAGACCGTTTAAACACTGATCACTGATGAAAACAGGCACCAAGGGTTATGAAGTCCTAATCAGCAGCGGCTGTCAATCACTTTTGTGGAGTGAGATGAACATGTTCAAGAATCTAATAAATAATTACTTAATTTATCTTTATTCTTTATCTTGCAGCAGTCCAGCTGAATGCATGCAGATTATAAACATCACTTTGTGTTCTCTAACTACAGACAAGATCATGAAATCTGATGGACATCAAAAGCATCATATGGTGAACATCTGAATAAGACCGTTTTAACCCTTTAACTTTGTGACTATTCATGTTCCTCAGGGGGAACTTTAAACACCTTTTTAAACCGTTATAAAAAACTATTTCTACATATTTATTTTCCACAAAAAAACTAGTCAAGTCTTTAAGAGCCGTCTCAGGCTGAATTAAAAAAATATATATAACTTTTTTTTTTTTTTTTACTTTTATGGGGTTTTTGTTTAAAAACTGTTTATTGTGTGTGTGTGGTGGTGGTGGTGGTGGTGGGGGGGGGGGGGTTCCAATTGACAAATATTTATATTGTTAATGGTAATTTTTCTTTTAAGTGTATTTTCAACCATTAGTCTGCCCTCTGGGTCAACATCCAAATCCTCCTCTGTTCTCCAGAGCTCAGAACTGATGCTTGGTTCCGTTGGCCCAGTCAGATGGGTCTGGAAAATCATCTCATGGTTTTGACTCAAACACATTAAAACTGACTAAACACTAAATTACACCCCAACTATAAAACCCAAACATGCTCATATCACAAATCCCTCAAACTCATTCCCGCTCTCAGTCTTTATTGCACCAAACTCCATTCAACTTCCACGTTTTTTTATTTTTATTTTTTTTATTCTTGTAGATTTTTCGGTACTTGACAAATAACTTTGAGCCTCCATCAGAAAGGAGGGGGGAGGTTTTTTACATGTTCAGCAGGGGTGGGAGGTGAAAGTGAAGGGTGATGGAGGCGTTTTGTCCCAGAGATTGCCCGTGTTTGTTGCAGCCTCTCGCTCGAACGTGCTTCAGATACGAGTGATTTTCAGAAAAAGATGTGGCGTGGATTATTTATCATAACTCTGGTTCTACTTGGCCTATCAGCACGATTTAAAGACTGTTGTGTAGTTTAAAGTCTGTATTTTCCACAAATTTAAACGGAGTCTCTAACAGGCTGTGTCTTTTCCATAGAGCGACTGAAATCGGTCATGTGACTATCACGTGACAGTGCGTCGATCGACTCAGAAGGAAAAGAAAAAAAAACAAATTGTCAGAGTATGCGGCACCAGACACTTGAGTCGGTGGCGAAATCGCCACCTGTAATTAAGAAGGTAGTGAATCGTTCTACATTTATAAGCATGGATTTTAGGCTCCTGATATTACCTCTTCGTAGTTTTTGGCCTCCACGCCGTGTTTCATGTCCAGATTGACCAGTTGGTCAGGCACTCTTCCAGTTCCTGTAAATTAGGGCACCGTTTACAAATTAGAAAAGTGTAACATTTCTGTGCCACTGTTTTAGTCACAAGTAATCCTAAAACAATTTCATAAAGGGTAAAACAATTTCAAAATGTATTTGTATTTAATGTTATTACATACTTACAAAATAAGTTTTTAATATGCTTCAAAACCCCTTAAAATCAAGTGAAATCATCTCAAAAGCCCTAATCACAGCTCACTGTCAAAATAATGTAATTACATCATGGGCGTCTAATAAACTGAATGCATCTAATTAATGTGCCTTGAAATCATTTACGAGCTTGTTCCAGTTAATATCCAGGCTTTTAGTGTTAGCACACTTACCCATGGGGGATTTACTTTCAAAGCAAACTTCAAACATGTCGTAGTCTTCTGTGGTGAAGGCAAACTTTCCCTTTGTTGCATCTTCCTTGGAGTAAAGAGTGTGGCTGGAAGAGTCTGTTATCTACAAAGTTAAAGAAAAGGATTGTAAACAAAAATAGAAGAACATGGCAGAAATGGACCCGTCAGTAAGTTACCCGTAGTCATTTTTAAAATAAAAGTTTGCATGAAAAAAATACACTTTCTAGTTCAAAAATGAATCTAAACGTTTGCAGTTCATTGGTCTTATTTTAGATTTATGAAACCTGATTTTCTAAATGAAATTTACTTTTTTTTTTTTTATTCAAAGACAGAAACATGTTTATGTCTGTTGTATTACTGCAGCGACTGCACACAACAGCTGCTGGGGAAAAGGGACGATTCCAGTTTAAAATAAAACTTTCATAAGATTATAATGGATCATCAAAGTGATGATAAGGTGGACCTTGTAAGCTGACTGCATGAAATAAGATTTTATTTTAACTGGTTTAATTGAAGGTAACAATGACGTATGTAATCTTTGCTGCTGAGTGGACTTAAGACTGACGTGTAACAGAAACACGACGACCCTGAACGCAACATAGAGTTATTACACCTCAAACACATAGTGCGTTTTACACTAAATGTTCTTTACTGCCAGAGTAATTAGAGTTTAAATTTAAAAGGGAAAAAATTAATTATTCACTCGAGAAAACCTATATAAGCATCGGTGATAGCTAGCTAGCTTATTAGCAAGTAAAACCAGGAAGACGAGTTTTAGGGCCTGGTTTAGCCCCATGCTAACACAGCTGTTAAGTCATTCCAGACAACAGTTAATTATTTCTCATAAAATGTTTACATATATGCTATGTTAGTTCAGTACAAACGAACCTTTTATGGTCTCAATAAGCTCAAGTTAAGGGTAAATTACCGCAAGTCTGCCCGTCTGTGCTTACCTTCAGATTGGTTTTCGTGTTCGCCTGCTCGCTGATTTCATACTCTCCCGTCACCAGGACGTCTTTGTGGATCTCCTCTCGTAAACACTTTCTGGAGTTGACCGGTAAGAAGAAGGAAATTGAAAATACCGATTCAAAGAGAACCGGTAAGAGCAGCAGCAGCGCAATAACTCGAGCCATGGCTACCATCAACCGACCGACCAACCAGCCCGTGCCAGCCAGCCAGCTTAACGCCGAGCTCCAACTCACACAACCGGTCAGACGGGGCGCTGCAGCGCCGCCACTGGTGCGGAGGTGTAACTGCACCCAGAGGATGTTTGACAGGTTGAGAAGGTGGATGAACAACAAACTGTTTATTCTGAGCAACTCTGATCATAATAACACTATTAAATAGTGTTTATATCAAATGAAAAAAGCTCCAACCAAATAAGAAAATGGAATGTACAGAAATGCAGTTTCAAATAACATAAACTTAAAAAAAAAAAAAAATTAACTACTGTTAAATTTCACATTTGTTTCTAGCTTACAGGCTTAGAGTACAAAGTTTTAAAAATATCAAAAAGATGCAAAATGTTTTAAATTTTGTATCAAATATTATCTAATTGTTAAGAAATCGGATAAAGCAGGTAAAAGATAATGGATGGACGTTAACAAATCACCAGCTAATGCATGTGAATAATTATATTGACGTTTTTAAGGACTTTACAAAGACTCTTTGGAGCATAAACATCAACTTACAAGAGCTGTATGCCACGATGTTTTCCCCTTCAGTGCTGCTCTGTTTTATATCAAATTTAGAGAAAATATTCTAAGTAAATTGTTTTTGCATGAAGATTTTTTTTATTGGAATCCTACTTACAAATATCATTCAAAAATGCAATTTGGACTAAATTATATTGTTAAGTCTTCATACTTGTGCTTTTCTGCTCAATGGTTAAATTGTTGTATCTCCCTGAATGTCCATATAGACTAGGTATATCACAAAAAAGAAACAGAATCATTTATAATTTCAGTTTCTAGACGTAATTTGCAAAAGACATTAAGCATGAAAGCTATTTAATTTAACTAAATGTGTTTGTTAGCATGAAAATGGTTGGCTTTTTAGGTGAAAACTTCTTGGCCCAGAACTAGCAGATGTAAAGGGAATGTTTTGGAAAGACAGAAAAAAACCATGAACTTATTGAGAGCCACAACATGCACTTATGCAGTCATGCTTTTGTTTTAGTAAAAATATGAAGCATTCTTAACTGTCCTGTAGATTTGTGTGTAGATATGTGTGTTTTAGTTTCTGCACATAAACTTCTTTTGTATAAGTATACTTTATTTGAAAAAATAATTAATAAATAAATGAAGGCATAGATGAATGCACAGAATCCTAAAAAGTATTTCAAGCATGTTTAACTGCAGTAAGATGTCAAAGGTAAGTTCATATGATTCCAGTACTTTAATTATGCTGTTGTTATTTATAAATTACTTAGAAAAGTCTGCAAGGTGGTGTTTGAGAATCATCTTCTGGTCATCTTCTGGTACAGGCCTACTTATTCTTTTGGTTTGTATGTTTGCTTGGTTTTTTTTTTTGGTTTTTTTATCATACAGTTTATATTACTGAGAACAACACTGTCAGTTGTCCGTCCTCCTCCTGACCCTCTTATTTTTATATTCATAACAGAAACTGAAATCAAGCCGTGGTGAAGAAAGAGTTGAGTCACAAGGCAAAGGTCCATCCATGTTCCATCCTTTATCTGTGGTCGTGAGGTATGAATCATGACCAAAAGAACAAGATCCAGGGTACAAGTGACCCAACTGAGTTTCCTTCATAGGGCGGCTGGTCTTAGCCTTGGAAATAGGGTGAGGAGCTCTGTCAGCCAGTGGAACCTGGAGCTATCAGAGCTGCTGCTCCTCTGCACTGGAAAGTTGTCAACTGAGGTGGTTCGAGCATCTGATTAGGATGCCTCTGGGATACCCCCCTTTGGAAGGTTTTTGAGGATATCTTACTGGGACGAGACCCTGGGGCAGACCCAAAACTCACTGGAGGAGCTCCAGCTGTCCCATGAGGAGCTGGAGTGTGTTGTTGGGGACACTCAGTGGATAAAAAGACCGAGTGGTTGGATGATTGCTGGATGGATGGATGGATGGATGGATGGATAACTGTTACTGCCAAAGTTTTAAATGTTTTGTTCTCAGAATATGTGTTGGGATGACTCTCAGCTACTACCACAACATATTGTTGGTCATTATTTATAGAATTGACCGAGTTGTAGTATAGTTATATACAGCACATTGATTGGCCTTGTTGCTGTTTTAAGTGCTTTATAAATAAAATTGTATGGTATCGTATAGCCATTTTTGTGTTTGCTAAAGCTGAATAGCTGTGGCAGACATCTCAGCTTGGTTTTACGTCCAAAATTATTAATTTGTAGACGTACATCCACTCATTACTTTCTGAGAGTTTCATCTTTCCGTTCCGTGAAATATTTTTGCTTATAAGAATGTCTGGCTGGGGGGAGGGGGAGTGGACATTGCCCTGTCTCAGCGATGGTGACCAAGTTCAAACATCCTGATGTCCCCTCTGCATGGAAATGATGCAGTATCTGTGGAACACACTGAGCCATGGCAGAGAGGGGACAAGTGAACACCACAGTTACTGTTTTTAGACATCTGACTAAAGCTGACCCAAGCATGAACCAAGAGATGATTAAACTTTTAGTTTCTATAATGAATGTGATGTAGAGACAGAAGAGCAAAGATTCACTAGTCACGTTTTTAAAAAAATAAGTAAAATCCTCCCCTTCATTTGCTAAAGGACAAAGTAAGGGAAGTTTTGCACATTTACACATTTTAACATTTCAAATCAGTGTAGTCCTAAAAAGTATGAATAAGATCTGTTTTTAATAAAAACATTCAATGTTAAGGTGTGAGTCAGGCTCAATTCTCAGCAGCACGTATGTCACAAAAATGATTTTGCAGATAAAAAAAAAAAATCTAAATAGTTGCAAACACAAGCAAAGAGCCCTTAAAAAGAAACTTCAGTCTGAACCAATGAGCAGTTTAAAATAAAAATAAAGGAACTGTGTGTTTGGATCATCTTGTTCAGCAGATACACTTCCACTCCCCGCAGCGATTCAGTGATCTGCCCCTACTAAACAAGTGTGAACAGTTCTCAACTGCAATAAAAAAGCCACAGAAGGAGTATTAAAGGTTAGATTATTTTGTCACGCTAAATACATTGTAGTCAGTGTTACAAGTGTTTGCGCAACTCGTATATTGGAGGTATTGTTTGCATTTGACTGATGAAGCAGCAAACTGATCCATTCCTTGAGTTAAACAGGAGCTTAGAAAATGTTTGATAAAAAGGGGAAAATGCATATATATCATTAATCAATTACCATGAAAATATTGGCCTAGCAAAATGGCCAGTATACAATATAAAATTGCAGCAAATTATTACATTTTACCACTAAACATTGTGTGAGTTTGCCCATGTACCCATACCAATAAAGCACTTAAAACAGCAACAAGGCCAACCAAAGTGCTGTACAGCAAAAACAAAACAAGCAAAGGACACAGCAAAAAATGCATAGATCCAAATAGATAAAGGTAAGGACTAACATTATAGAATACAGACAAGTTCAAATCAACTCGCACAGTGTCAAAAGCCAGGGAATAAAAGTGAGTCTTCAAACGAGACTTAAAAACAATGAGAGAGGCAGCCTGATCTTACTCTGACCTGCAACAGAGAAAGCCCTGTCACCTCTGACCTTAAAAGTCAAAAAGAAGTTGGACAGAGAACCAGTGTGCTTCAGAGGGAAGTAAATTTGACAGTCATCGACAAAGAAATGAAAAAGCCATGTTTATGAAAAATAGCACCTGGTGGCAGCAGGTATAAAAAAATGAGAAGAGGACTAAGAATGGACCCCTGCGGTACCCCACACCAAAGAGCTGCTGACGTTGAAATAAAATCCTTGATGTTGACACAAAAGGTTCTGTCAGAGAGGTAGAATCTAAACCCATTGATAGCTGACCCTGTGATGCCCACCCACGGCTCCAGCCTAGAAATGAGGAGGTTGATGGTTTCAAAAGCAGATGTTTAAGTTCCAATAGGACAAGAAGCACAGAATCACCTGCATCTGTGGCTAGGAAAATATTAAAAACCTTCAACAGAGTAGTCTCAGTACTGTGGAGAGATTTGAAGCCTGACTGGAACACCTCTAAAATAGAGTGATCCTCCAGGAAACATTTCAACTGGGAATCAACTATTTTTTCCAGTAGTTTTTAGTTTATTGTAACGTTAAATCACATATAATTTAACGTGTGTATCACTGATCATGTCTGATGTGTGGCAGCGTGACGTGAGCCGTGCGCGCCTGAGGACACTCAGACGTTGTAAACTAACATCATGTTGAAGCAGGCTGTTGAAGGGGTGATAAACCTAAGCTGAAAGATCTGACCTCGCATGCTCTGTGTTTGGTTTAGACTAGATCAAGAATGTGTTATTAAGCCTTTACATAAATCAGAACTCGTTAAATTCTCATCACGAAACAAGAGAAGCGCACACCCATGAGCACGTAGCTATTTTTCTTTCAGGTTCTTCTGCGAGTTTGATTCATTTTAAGCAACCATCATTTTCAACAATATTGTAGTGGGAGTCTTACATAAACCACAGACTGGCCTCCGTGTGGGTTTCCTTGTGGGTCTGAGTGGCCATTTACTGAGACTGATATTGAGTGGCAGTGTGTGGGAAGGCTTGTGCAAACACATCATTTCAAGGTAGGAAGAACTGCAGGCAATCGATCAGAGGGCTTTGATTTCTCCTGCTGAATAAATAACAATCTGAGACGGGAGTTGGTGGTATTTTTCTAAATATAATCACAATTATGTTATGTGCAACTGAAATGTTTTACTCAAATGTATTTAATATGTGTGCACAATGTTCCATCAAGCATTAAATTCCTAATAGCTATCCTTTTTTGTCAGCAGCTCGGGGATTGCACAGTAATGAACAACATAGCTGTCCAGTTTCCAGGGAAACATCCTTGTTACTGATCCCACGAGACGCGACGACGACACGCTGCAGAGAGGGGAGTCTGGCAGTAGGTGAACAGTAATTATTGGATAGAGAAATCCCTCCAGTATTGTAGCTTAGTGCGTCAAAAAACCTCCAAGAATAGCCCGCCGTCACACTCGCCACTGTGCTGCAGAAAAATGTGCGCTGGAAAGAAGAAGAACTTTATATTTATAGGCTTGG